GGATGTCCTAATAAAAAAGAGACCTGATGGTTCAATGAGCCACTCTGTCTACAGGAAAGCTACCCATACAGATGCTTATCTGAAACCGGATTCCCACCACCATCTATCACAGAATAATTCTCTCATCAAGACTCTGCACCATAGAGCCCAATGCATATCCGACCAGGAACACATAAGCAGTGAACTCAAGCACGTACACCAAGCTCTTAAGGCTAATGGTTACTCCGACTATACAATCCGCAAAGCTATCACTCAAACCATGAAGAAGGACCCTCTTGAGGAGCCTTTCAAAACCATCACTTTACCCTACATTGTGGGGATCACAAAAAAGATCTCCAAAATCTTGAATAAACACAAGATCCAGGTCTGTTTCAACACATTACATAAAATCCGTGATCTGGTTCCATCTGTAAAAGATGTGATTCCGGACATACAGTACCCTGGTGTCTACAAACTAAGTTGCCTCTGTGGTAGTAGTTACTTTGGAGAAACTAAACGACATGTCTCGGACCGCATTCGTGAACACAAAGCAGACCTTAAACACGGTAGGACCAACACCTCGGCCGTGGCAGATCACTGTTATAATTCAGTAGGTTTACATGACCTTGACTTCTCCAAGACAGAGGTTCTTTGCAAGCCATCGGGCTACCATGAGAGATTCGTTCATGAGGCTATCCACATATACAAAGACAGAGACAATTTCAACCGAGAAGATGGATTCTGGCTTAGCAATCATTGGAACGATTTGATAAACCATTTCGGGTCTTAATTGATTGTTCACGCTTATGGTGGCTTTCAGACAGCATACATTAATTTTTCGTCTCCCCCCTCCTCTTTTCCGAACATAGATGGACTTATAAACAAACGTCCTTATAAACAAACTGCCAAATCGCTGTCCGTAGCGCTAATGTTTAAAAATAAATAAATAAATAAAAACCGCCACTTCTTTCAAATGTTTCTTGCCATTGGTTTTCACACCTGATGATGACTGTTTGTGTTACAGTCGAAACGTCGTGAGAATTTTATTATATATATATTATTATTTTATTGTTTCCCTTCAATGTGACTTTACCGAAAGAACCAAGACTATGATTCATATTTGTTGATGGGTTAGACCACATGGTAGTGTTTATGCCAAAATTATTGTGATTAATGACAAGAATGTTGACGTAAAAAGTACCACTGTTCCTAACCCTAATACAAATGCGAAGCAACGTTTTCTTCAGTTTAGCATCTCAAAATCTTTTAAAATATCTCTTCTCTTTCCCAACATGCATTGCCTGGTTTCAGACGATGTTGTAATTTTGCATGTTTGCTTTGCCCTCCACCATCAGTGCCCTGTCCTTTACAATGCTACTTTAATACATTAAAGGGGTGATATAGCAAGCAACTGAAAGACGGAAGCAGCAAAAACCGAGATTGATCATTATAATTGGCAATTCACAAATGGTAGCTCTTCGGGAGAAATATGGAATGCCAAAACTCAAGATTGGGATATAATCTTAATGAGTGTAATAATTGTATGTAGAGCTCGAAAGCAAAAATATATCTATAGCCGAGGAATCAGATTGTCTCTCTGATTAAGAGGAGGTAGTTCTAGATCTTACAATGAAAAAGGTAAATTCTGCCCTTCACAGTATGAAAAAGGAGAAAACTCACAAATCACGTGGTATACAACTGTGGACACCATCAAAGAAAATGGAAGCAAACAGCGGAACTAAATTAGCGAACATGTTAAATAAATGTTTATAGAGCAATTAAATATCACGATCAAATGGAATGATGCTTCATTCTTTTGCTCAAAAAGGCTGTAAAAGCTTTACTTGAAGACCTACAGCCATTGGCCTCTCATCGCCGAGTATATCAATTGCTCACAAAGACCATTGGCAGAAACGTGTAGAGGACAACCGGACATAGCTACGGGCAGAGTTTTCAGAGAGGTTTCTATATTGTCGACCATATGCAGACTCTCAATCAGATTCTGGAAAAAACAAAGTGCATTTTAAGTACTATGTATGAACTTCTTTCGCACCGTACATAACCAACCGTTGTACCTCATTGTCATTTAACATGATGTCCGATGCTTTGCTCCAGCGGGAAGAGCGGAACGAAAGATATTGAGCCGGGCAACACGCAGCACAACCCGGAAACCCACCGGAGAGCTCCATTAAATCTGATGTCAATCACTTTTGCTCTGCCCACCGCAGGTTAACAACATTGACACCACTTGGCTGAAGCTAAATAAATAATGATGGCACGGGCAGGGCCCGTTTGATATCCCCAATCAGATTTCCATCAAATATCCTACTTTTTTAATTATGCACATGCCCCCTTGAACCGCATCTTAAAAACATTTTTTTTTTATTTGGCTAAACATTAGAAAGGAGGATCAAGCTGTTTCCGATAAAAATATAATCCTCAAAAAAATATTACTCATGCCAATTTAATACCCATTTCCCACCGGCATGTCCAAGTTGTGGGTAGTTTCCCCTGACTATTTGCCAGCACCAAACTGTCATGCGTCATATGCTGGCCTCACAATACATTTGAATTTGGCTCAGGGCCAAGCAGGGCCAAAGGTGGGGGGTAATGATGCATTCATTGCATTTAACATCATTCAGTACACTCTAAGGATGATGAACAACATGGCATCACCATGTCATCCACGTGCATTTTGACCAGTACGTACGCGTGTATGTATGTTGAATTTTTTTTTTACACCGTATATAGCCAACCGTGCTAATCGGAGGTGCGGGGGGAAGGGCAAAACACTAAACACAAAAATGAGTTCTCATGGAATTAATTTTCAATCTAAATTTAAAAGTGCAAAACTCCAGTGGTTTCCTAATATCGTAAGGAAGAATGTTCCAGACGGCCGCAGAAGTGCATTTGAAAGCGCGCGATGCAGTAACTGTCTTTGTTCGATGGCTAGCCAAAAGCTGCTGCGAGGGTGACCGGAGTTCGCATGATGGTTTATGCTCCTTGACGAGATCAGCAAGGTATTGTGGTTCATGCATTCGGCAACCGGAAGCCAATGCAGCTCGGCGAACACTGGACAGACATGATCAGATCTTGCAGTACCCGTCACGGCACACGCCAAAGAGTTTCGTGCATGCTGAAGCTTGGTAATATTTTTGCCGGACGTCCCATAGCATAGCGAGTTGCAATGATCGAGCCTTGTCGATACAACGCTACACGCCACCCACCGTGTTGGCTACGTCACGACTCAATAGTAGTCGAATGTGTCGTAGAGCCCTGATACAGTGAGGGAAAAAAGTATTTGATCCCCTGCTGATTTTCTACATTTGCCCACTGACAAAGAAATTATCAGTCTATAATTTTAAAGGTAGGTTTATTTGAACAGAGGAGAGACAGAATAACAACAAAATCCAGAAAAACGCATGTCAAAAATGTTATAAATTGATTTGCATTTTAATGAGGGAAATAAGTATTTGAACCCCTCTCAATCAGAAAGATTTCTGGCTCCCAGGTGTCTTTTATACAGGTAACGAGCTGAGATTAGTAGCACACTCTTAAAGGGAGTGATCCTAATCTCAGCTTGTTACCTGTATAAAAGACACCTGTCTACAGAAGCAATAAATCAATCTGATTCCAAACTCTCCACCATGGCCAAGACCAAAGAGCTCTCCAAGGATGTCAGGGACAAGATTGTAGACCTATACAAGGCTGGAATGGGCTACAAGACCATTGCCAAGCAGCTTGGTGAGAAGGTTACAACAGGTGGTGCGATTAGACGCAAATGGAAGAAACACAAAAGAACTGTCAATCTCTCTCGGCCTGGGGCTCCATGCAAGATCTCACCTTGTGGAGTTGCAATGATCATGAGAACGGTGAGGAATCAGCCCAGAACTACACGGGAGGATCTTGTCAATGATCTCAAGGCAGCTGGGTCCATAGTCATCAAGAAAACAATTGGTAACACACTACGCCGTGAAGGACAAATCCTGCAGTGCCCGCAAGGTCCCCCTGCTCAAGAAAGCACATATACATGCCCAAATGAAGTTTGCCAATGAACATCTGAACGATTCAGAGGACAACTGGGTTAAAGTGTTGTGGTCAGATGAGACCAAAATGGAGCTCTTTGGCATCAACTCAACTCGCCGTGTTTGGAGGAGGAGGGATGCTGCCTATGACCCCAAGAACACCATCCCCACCGTCAAACATGGAGGTGGAAACATGCTTTGGGGGTGTTTTTCTGCTAAGGGGACAGGACAACTTCACCGCATCAAAGGGACGATGGACGGGGCCATGTACCGTGAAATCTTGGGTGAGAACCTCCTTCCCTCAGCCAGGGCATTGAAAATGGGTCGTGGATGGGTATTCCAGCATGAAAATGACCCAAAACACACGGCTAAGGCAACAAAGGAGTGGCTCAAGAAGAAGCACATTAAGGTCCTGGAGTGGCCTAGCCAGTCTCCAGACCTTAGTCCCATAGAAAATCTGTGGAGGGAGCTGAAGGCTCGAGTTGCCAAACGTCAGCCTCGAAACCTTAATGACTTGGAGAAGATCTGCAAAGAGGAGTGGGACAAAATCCCTCCTGAGATATGTGCAAACCTGGTGGCCAACTACAAGAAACGTCTGACCTCTGTGATTGCCAACAAGGGTTTTGCCACCAAGTACTAAGTTATGTTTTGCAGAGGGGTCAAATACTTATTTCCCTCATTAAAATGCAAATCAATTTATAACATTTTTGACATGCGTTTTTCTGGATTTTGTTGTTATTATTCTATCTCTCACTTTTCAAATAAACCTACTATTAAAATTATAGACTAATAATTTCTTTGTCAGTGGGCAAACGTACAAAATCAGCAGGGGATCAAATACTTTTTTCCCTCACTGTGTATTCGTGGCACGGCTCCGTTTCCTCAGTGCATTGTGAGTCACTCCACGGTCCCAGTGCGGGGCTCGGTTGCGCAGTGGAAATGAGGTAAATGAGTTCACGTGGAAACAAGGACAGAGAAGTTGCACGTGAGCAGTACCTGTTGTCGTTTCTCAGACTCCAGTTTCATGCGCGAGCGGATGCAGTTGCAGGTGTCGTCGAAGGTCTGCTTCAGGGCTACGTCCATGAGGTACTTGTGGTAGGCGCCGGCAAGATTCCCACACACGAAGATCACCGTGTTGGCCAGCAGCTGTGGGGGAACAGTAGAGGAGGTGGGGCGACGTGGGAAAGCGGAGGTGAAATAACAAATCGTACTTGGAAAGGATGCACAGCAGGCAGAGGTGCAAACTTTTTATATTTTTTTGTTAAACTAGTTGAAAGTCAAAAGATTTTCCTGCTGGTACGGGGAGTGTGATGGCACTCATCCCTGTTGGCTTCCGGGCTTTTGGCTAACTACTCTTGACTTCCCACATAATTGTATACAATTCCAGAGGGATGATGAGCTGAGTCGGAGGTCATCCCTGAATCGGATTTTGAAGCTGGGCGCACGACCTTCTGGTGAGACGAGTCGATTCTCGTAAAACCGCGTTGGCGGCGTGTACGCCGATGGTGCACACAACACAGGATTGGACACGCTCGCCAGTTTCGCTGCTTTGAAATGGAAACAAAAATTGGACAACAGGCGACATTTCGAGCAATGGGCCTCCTTCATCAGGGCGCGTGCACACGTTGCGTTCACCGCTCGTGACATTAGTTCGGCTACACCGGGCAATTGTGAAATATAATAATGATATTAATGATGATTCATAACAATAATTGTGTTATCCTTTTAAGAGGACTGGCTTTAATAATTACACCTCGAGATCCCAGGAGGAAATACGTGAGTGTGAGAGAAACACGCCCGTGACATTGCCATGGATCGAGCAATAGCCTATTGTTTCCACTTCCTTGCATTGGCGAACTAACACGCCCATATAAATGGGTGCTTATATACTTGAAGTGTCTCTTATTCAAGTCAATATATCTTGACTTAAAGCTTTCGTGACTGCAGGAATATTATTTTATAGAATTTTTTTCATTTTTTATTATTTTTTCTATTTACGTGGATTTACTGAAAGACCCAAAGAATATCAATATAGCTTATGTACGTGTGTGTGAATGAGTGTGAACGAACACATTCATTTCATAAATAATCTGTAAATGTGTTAGACGTGCAATACATTTGTGCATTCATTCGCAAGCGTGTAGGAGGAGGTGAATTCGACTATGTGCAAGTAAATGCATGCCAGGAGAGAAGCCACCGTTATGATCTCAAGGCCACGGAATTTGAAGTAACATTGGCCTTTGGAGGGAAAAAAGAACACACAAGTCTCATTAAATAATTAAAATGAGAAATTCCAAGTGCGAGAATAATTGGAATATATGGTAAACAAACTATTTTGGATGTCCTTTACAGGCATTATTGAGTGAAACCGATTTCGCTGACTGCTTCCTGATGTTTGTGCCAATGTGCCCAGACACCGATCTATACTTTGGAAATTCTTTCAACACTTTACAATTGATTAATGTCAATAATTGACGAATAAAAATGTAAAATATAGGATCAATCTCTTGTTTATAAAATGCAGATAGTGGTTGATGTCAACGTACTTAAGTTTTCTAAATGTAAATAAACAAGTGGGGAAGGGTGGTTTATATTTTATACACAGTCCTGAGTCAGTGGTGGAAATGCCATATTCTCACGGTGGTGGCCAGTGTCTCTATAGGACAGTGAGTGTTGACTGCCACAAGGTAGAATTCATGTCATCAATCCCAGATAGGCCGGGCCAAACCTGTGAGCAGGATTGCAACTGCCTGAATAAAGGCAGCAGAGTACTGTGTGATGCAGAATTGATCAATCAGCTAAGTAGTTCTTTGTCAATATATGAGTGCTCAAAGCAAGATGTAGGCAATATGATTAATCCTTGAATTGGACCAGTCTCAATCCCAAAACTTGTATTCTACACACACTGCTTTTGTTACCAATTTACCAGTCGTCGCAGATCACTGTTTGTCACGTTTGATCACCTTTATGGATTTATTTTATTAAACCAAGTGAGAAAATATCGTCGACCTTCCTACAAAGTGGATTGCCCTTTAATACCCGGTTGGTGGTGCTGCTGAAGCAGAAATAATAACAACTTGGCACATTTGTTCATCACGTGACAACTTCATTAATCGGCTGCGTCAGGTGGAGGAGGGTGTACGACACGCAACATTTGACATACATGATAAACCTTGCTTGACTCGATAATCTCGTCTGATCGTGGATGACAACCACCTGGATTCGAACAGGGACCTCGGTACTTTGACCTCAGGCAATAGCCCCCAGAGCCACCCTCCTACCTCCATCTCAGCACATGTTAAAACCAGCACTGTTTGATGACATTGAAGATGTTTACATGGTTTCTGACCACAGAGCTTGGACAAATGAAGTGATAAAGGTCATATTCTTAGTTTTTTCGGTAAAGTCACGTTGAAGAGAAACAACAAAATAACAAAATATATATAAAACAATACAAAAATTCTCACGACGTTTCGACCATAACTCAAACGGTCATCATCAGGTGTGTTGGTTTGCATAAATTTATTTTTAAACGGCAAATTTATTTATTTAAAAAAAACGTTGGCGTCACGCGCAGCGATTGGCAGTTTGCCCAGGACTAGTCCATCTATTTTTTTTTAAAAGAGGAGGGGGGAGACGAAATTTTTTATAATGTATGCTGTCTGAAAGCCACTGTAAGCGTGAACAATCAATCAAGAACTGAAATGATTTATCAAATCTTTCCAATGATTGCTAAGATAGAATCCATCTTCTCGGTTGAAATTGTCTCTGTGCTTGTATATGTGGATAGCCTCATGAACGAATCTCTCATGGAAGCCAGATGGCTTACAAAGAACCTCTGTCTTGGAAAAGTCAATGGCATGTGAGCCTACTGAATTAGAACAATGATCTGCTACGGCCGAGGTGTTGGTCCTACCGTGTTTAAGGTCTGCTTTATGTTCACGAATGCGGTCCGAGACATGGCGTTTGGTTTCTCCAATGTAACTACTACCACAGAGGCAACTTAGTTTGTAGACACCAGGGTATTGTATGTCCGGAATCACATCTTTTACAGACGGAACCAGATCACGGATTTTATGTAATGTGTTGAAACGGACCTGGATCTTGTGATAAAGGTCAGTTTCCGATGTAAATGAAGGCTCCACTCAAGGGGATTTCATCCGAATGCACCTTGACTAACATTGACATAAATAAGCAAAGCAATGAATCCATACACACTTTTTTTTGCACAAGTAATTGAATAAACATACGACAGAGGTGAGCACCCCTAATTAGCCAAATTTGCAGACGAAAACATTGATTATGCATAATGAAAACAGACTCGTAACTTTAAACCACCAAGTTACAATCCCCAGAAACTCCGATGAAGTATTGAGTGTGTAAGTGGCATAGCAGTAGTTCAGTATAACAAAAACGACCCCAAAGGAAAGAGTAATGAATTGATAAAAAAATGAAACTCATTAGCGACTAACGCGCAATGATGTAATTGCCAGGACAGGGTGGGGGGTAAGCGAGGGTTATTTTTGTATCGGACCATTAGCACTTGAGGCAGGGCAGCTGGCAGGCTCTGGTGGAAATGAGTCCCTGGAGGTTGGCAATACACCATTTTAACATTTGCTTGGGTTTGCTTGTATTCGCCTTATTCTCCACTGCCATCCCCACCCTTTGTTTTTGTTCTACTAATTAAGGACAACAGCCTGTTTCCTTGCACCCCCCCCCCCCCCCCATGTTTAGCCGGCCGGGCGGCACTCTGAATAAGGCACAATCGGCTACGAGTTAAAATTTCGGTCGTAGGTCAACTTGGCCTATTAAACCACTCCTCTGGTGTTGACAAACCTAGTTACCACTTTGCAGAGAAAAAAACACGTTGGTTCTTTTGGTGGGACTGGTTGCTGCCCGAGAAATGTATAATTTTCCATGGCCTTGAACGCAGATGAGAAAAGCGACTGCTTTGACCTTGTCCGACTTACATTATTTACGGATATGCAATCTCATTTCGATCTATCCATACAGATGCATCTCCAGACGCTTCATGCTAATGTACAATTTGAGAGGCTATTCAAGTCTACATATGAGTGCAGTGTGTGCCTACATTTGAGTGCGCTCTCACTATGGCAGAAAATGGGCACTAGTGAATGTGACTCACGCCAGCGGTCTCACTATGACAGGAAACGGGCACTAGTGAATGTGACTCACGCCAGCGGTCTCACTATGCCAGGAAACGAGCACTAGTGAATGTGACTCACGCCAGTGGTCTCACTATGACAGGAAACTGGCACTAGTGAATGTGACTCATGCCAGTGGTCTCACTATGACAGGAAACGAGCACTAGTGAATGTGACTCACGCCAGTGGTCTCACTATGCCAGGAAACGTGCACTAGTGAATGTGACTCATGCCAGTGGTCTCACTATGACAGGAAACGAGCACTAGTGAATGTGACTCACGCCAGTGGTCTCACTATGACAGGAAACGGGCACTAGTGAATGTGACTCACGCCAGTGGTCTCACTATGACAGGAAACGAGCACTAGTGAATGTGACTCACGACAGTGGTCTCACTATGACAGGAAACGAGCACTAGTGAATGTGACTCACGCCAGTGGTCTCACTATGACAGGAAACGTGCACTAGTGAATGTGACTCATGCCAGTGGTCTCACTATGACAGGAAACGAGCACTAGTGAATGTGACTCACGCCAGTGGTCTCACTATGACAGGAAACGGGCACTAGTGAATGTGACTCACGCCAGTGGTCTCACTATGACAGGAAACGAGCACTAGTGAATGTGACTCACGACAGTGGTCTCACTATGACAGGAAACGAGCACTAGTGAATGTGACTCACGCCAGTGGTCTCACTATGACAGGAAACGGGCACTAGTGAATGTGACTCACGCCAGCGGTCTCACTATGACAGGAAACGAGCACTAGTGAATGTGACTCACGCCAGCGGTCTCACTATGACAGGAAACGAGCACTAGTGAATGTGACTCACGCCAGCGGTCTCACTATGACAGGAAACGAGCACTAGTGAATGTGACTCACGCCAGTGGTCTCACTATGACAGGAAACGGGCACTAGTGAATGTGACTCACGCCAGTGGTCTCACTATGCCAGGAAACGAGCACTAGTGAATGTGACTCAC